ATTAATTAGAACCTTAAATCAAAAATCACATGTAATAATAATAATATTATTAAAGCACACTTAACAAAACAAGGAAAAATAAAAAAAAGAGATTTTAATAACAAACAAAACCTTGAACTTGTAACAGCAATAATGAAAGGATAGAAAATATCTACTTTTAAATTATTTACATTTCTAAGATTAACATTAACTTTCACACTTCAGTCAATTATAAAAGTTCTGCAGAATTCATAATAGTTTGTGTTCCAATGCAGTACTTACCATTAAGTACAAGCATTAAGTTGTATAAGGCTCAGATATTAAACCAAAAAAAAAAAAGCAAAAACGCCTACAGAAAAACAAATAAGATACAAAATACCAAAAAAAATCCAAAGATGTTGAATAAAACAATTAAATCTGGAAAGGGTACCTTAACACTGCACCACACATTTCATTAAAATTCCTCTTGCTTAAACATCTGATGAAACTATAAATAGTGATGAAGAGAAAGATTTGTTTTAAGCATTACATAATAATGCAAGAAGCAAAAACAACCTGATAATGCTATAGATAAACTTAAAGTAAAAACTAAAACTTTTTTTCCAACAACACGACCTTGGGTTACTGGCTGCTTTATGGATCTAATGAATTTCACTCTTCTGCCCAGCATTGGAATAATGGTTATTATGTGACTGACAGGATTACAATTTTAGACTTTCTTTTTCCCATTATACCATCCGTTATACTCATGCTAATTTAATAATCAGCATGAATATTATTATGTTTCATTAAGTTGCCAATAAGTTTCAAAATTTTACAAGAAGAAATCAGAAACTAACCCCCACCTTAAGGTGTAAAAATACCATCCGATAAAAACAATTCTTTCTGAACTTCTGGCATACATTTAGTTGCTAATTATTATTAAACTCAATGGAAAGCCCCATAATTGCTATTACTCCATTTTAGTTTCAAACAAAGCCTCATATAATTTCAGGTTATGGAAAAATGTTTAAACATGAAGCTGTAAATCTTCTTACAATTTAGAAAAAAAATTGTTTAGTCAAAAAATAAAACATGTAGAAATCCAATGCAATTATTAATATAAGATGGTTCATAAGCTTCTTACACAGTTTGTTTAAAAATACCATATGGCACATGTAAAAGCACCTGAATATGTTAGAATCAAATGACTTTTTTTTATTCCAAAGTACTTATAAATTATTTATGTATAGATTTGTAGCATTTGAAAATGGTCTACCCTTTCACTTGGAAAGCCCTAGTAGTACTTAATGGATCATAAGGATGAATTTAAATGATTTTTAAAATTAACAATAGTATCTATTATATTCTAAGAAACTGGTGATTAGTACTTTTGATATACACAAGGCACTAGTTGTACTTAAGTTGCATTATTTAGCATTTTTGCTACAATTACAATGAATTTTACACTAGTTACATTAAAGTGACATTACCTAACATAGTTGCCAGAGCAATGAATACTGCAAGTTATATTCAAGTGGCATTGTGTAACACTTGCTTCACAATGAGTTCTGTACTAAGGGTATAAGTTATGTGTATGTCGAAAAGTATCATTTGTCATTTTTTAAGAGTTGAAAATGTAGTAACCAAGGGAAAGCATTAATCACCTTGTTCTTCAAAGAAACATACGAGATCCAGGGTCGACGCCATCGGGAGTGTAGCACGTGCATGTACACAGGGCAGCAGTTTCTTTGGGGCGTAATTGTGTAAATTCCTTTAATGGCGGAAGAGCGTAATTGTGGGGTGGGTGGCACAGTCAGCGGTAAAACACGTCGCGCTGGCCCTGGTGAGATCCAACACTATATGGCCGACTAGAAGAATAAGAAACCATAAATGAAAAAACCCGAGAAATAACTTAACTCGGCATGTAATGACTAAATGTAGCGGTGGAAACTAACAACATGAAATTCAGTTCGATTAAAGATAAGTTTTCTACCTGCCGCTTGAAATCGGTCTTAAACCAACATAACCCTCACTTCCGTTTTCTCCTAAGCCATTTAGTCTGTCTTTTCTATTTGTTGTTAAAAGCATTATTAACCTTCTACTAGTATACACACACCTACCGTTTTATTAACCTTTTACTAGTGTAGGAATATACACACCTACTGTTTACTAACCCTCTACAAGCATAGGAATATACACACATCTACCGTTTTACAACCTTCTACTGGTATAGAAATACACACACCTACTGTTTACTAACCCTCTACAAGCATAGGAATATACACACATACCGTTTACTAACCCTCTACAAGTATTGGAATACACACACCTACCATTTACTAACCCTCTACAAGTATAGGAATACACACACCTACTGTTTACTAACCTTCTACGAGTATAGGAATACACACACCTACCGTTTTATTAACCTTTTACTAGTGTAGGAATATACACACCTACTGTTTACTAACCCTCTACAAGCATAGGAATATACACACACCTACCGTTTACTAACCTCTACAAGTATAGGAATATACACACCTACCTTTTACTAACCCTCTACAAACATAGGAATATACAAACACCTACCATTTACTAACCTTCTACTAGTATAGGAATATACACACACCTACCGTTTACTATCCGTCTACAAGTATAGAAATACACACACCTACCGTTTACTAACCTTCTACAAATATAGGAATACACACACACCTATCGTTTACTAACCCTCTACAAGTATAGGAAGACACACACATCTACCGTTTACTAACCTTCTACAAGTATAGGAATACACACACCTACCGTTTACTAACCTTCTATGAGTATAGAAATACACACATCTACCGTTTACTAGCCTTTTATAAGTATAGAAATACACACACCTACCGTTTACTAGCCTTTTACTAGTATAGAAATACACACACCTACCGTGTTATACATATTCGAATATGTATTTCCAACATCTACTATATGACAAAGTGGAAGCAGTTATAATACTGTTGCGTCAGCGAGGTCACGTGACTAGTGTCACGCCACTTCTCTCGAACATTCGTGAATGCCCTAGCATTTACTAGATATGTGTTTGTCTGGTATATATATAAGACGCTCACAACGTGACGGGATAATGTGTGTAGGTAGTGAGTAATTGATCGTCAATATACTCAGCTTAGTAGTTATAATTTTCCTATATTTACAAAACGTTGTCCTATATGAGAAAGAGTGACAACTATTGGTTTCTTTGGAGCAGTCAGTTGCAAAATCTGAGGGGTGGCAGTTATGTTTACAATTAGACGGATTGTTTTATCAACACAACAAGAGCATATTCTTAAGCCTCATTATTACCTTATTTAGCAAAGTATGTCTACTCACAATTATTCGAGTCCAATTAATAAACTTTTTATTCAAATTATTATTAAATGCAACAGAATTACAAAAATGTACTTACAGCGTAAAGCATTTCATGTCTGTAATAATAAATTTAACTATTATCTTAAATAAAACGTTTCTAAACACAAGTTAGAGAGATTTTGAATTCGTTTAAACTTGTAATTCCCAAGGGTAAACATTATTTTTCTTGACAAACTTACAGGTTCTTGCTATTAAAATGAATGTGAATGTTTTTTGAGTAGAAAGGTACAACGAAAACTACACCTAATATATCTCACACATTTTAATTTGGTCTAATGTTCTAGACAGGAACTGATAATTTTATTATATTGAACAGTGTTGAGTTGCAGTCAATAAGTAACGTAAAATATTCGTTATTA